CTAGATTCATGGGAAGCTCCATGGGCCGGAAAGGGTGGCCCTGGGTGCTAGATTGGGTGTATGAGGTAGCACAGGATGGAAATTTGGAGTGCAAGGCTAGGCATGGGGACCAATCCCAGCACACAGGGCCAGGCAGGGGCAGTGCAGGGCCTGATCTTGGTGTATACTACATCCAGAATCATAAAGGCATATACTGTACAGAATGTGCTGCATAATCTATACAGAGACAAAAATGACATAAGTGAACACTGCATAACATTGGCTTTTCAATGAGACCACATACACCATATCAGTAAAACAAACATAAGAAAACCTGTATGACATTCCAGAAACCTGTCCAATAACAGTGGGGTTTGTGACAATGTCAAATAGATGTTTATTCATAATTTCACATAGAGATCACCCTGTCTGAAAATGTAGACAGCAGAGAGGCACTGTAAACAGGTGATGGGTGTATATCAGAGTGGTCCAATTTCTCAGCAGTCAAGGATCACACACCCCTTGGGCCACATACCATGGGTGCCTCATTAGCAAGACCTGTGAGATCTCCAGACTGTGCACCATGCACTCACACAGGCAAGTGTGCTATCACCCTGCTGCACCATGTGTATGGATGGGCGGGCACTTCCCTCGGTTCCCCACCCCTCTGTACTGTGTGCTCAGTGGGTTGGGTGCTCTCCTGCCCCACTGCACCGTGCAGACAGGCAGACACCCACCCTGTGTGGTGTAGCACTCCACCTCACCTGCAGCTGCCTGAAGGCTCTCCTCTGGCTCTGTGCTGCTGGGTCATCCAGCACAGCTGAATGCACCATACCACATCAGTGGCATCAGAGCAGATATGGTTGTAATATAGAGATTGATTGTGCATGATGGATGTAGGGGTGTGCTTAGGGTGAGAGTTGCTGTCATGGAAGTACCTGTAGCACTGGATAGGTTTCTGATACAATGTAGCAGTGATATGGCCATTGCAAACTTTCACAGTGACAACCAAGAAATAAATTTGCTGGGTGTAGTATTCCAGCGTCAGTTTGATGGAGAGGTGGAAGTTGTTAGAGCCCTGGTGGAATTTCTCTAGAGACTGTTTCCTATGTGTCTATATGAAGATGTCATTGGTATGAAGGACAGCTGCAGAGGAAGTGGACTTCAAGGTCCATCATAAATACATTGGCATATTAGGGGTCACAAGGGTGCTCATGGCAGTGTCAATTGTTTGTAGCTATAGGAAGTCCCCAAATCTGAAATAGTTGTGTATAAGGAAAGAAGTAGGAGGGTGTGATAGAAATGGAAGCAATATCTTGATTGGGAATAAAGTTCCTTATGGGTTATAATCCATCCTGATAGGGGATGTCAGTATATAAAATTGTGACTTCCATGGTAGCTAATATCGTAGTAACTGGAAGCTTGTCAGTGGAAGCTAGTTTCTTTAGGAAATCTGTGGTATCTTTCAAATTGCTGGCAGCTCCCATGGCATATGCAAATCAGATTGAGTCAAGGTAGCCAGAAACTCCCTGTGTGATAGCGCCAATGCCAGAGGCAATGGAACATCCCGAGTTGCTAGGTTTGTGAGTCTTAGGTAAAAAGGAAAAGTTGCCTGGGTTGGATTGCCAGGAGGTAGAAACATTAATCCTCTCCTGTTTCCAGAGGTAGCATCTTTAAGAGTTAATTTAATTCCTTCTGGTATTGTGATGTGGGGTCCTGGGTCAGAAGTTTGTAAATATGTGGGAAAGTTGTCTGTTGGTTTTCTGTATGTATGCTGTTTTGTTCATTACAACAGTAGCACCCCCTTATCAGACACTTGCATGATAATATCAGGGTTGCTCTTAAGATTTAGGTTTGTTTGTTTTTAAGGCTTATTTGTTCTCAGAAAACAAAAATTTAAAACCAACTTGGAACAGGAAATTGTGGAACAAGAAATAATCCATAGACTGGATTGTGTTAAGTATCTGTAGTCTGAATTTAGACCGTTTTATCCCATTACCTGGATTAGCTTTCATAACCACTATGTTCCTTTGTTTGTTTTCCTTTCTCTTACCCATCTTGCCTCTCCTGCAGTTCCCCTTCCTTCCCTACTCTTTGTATTCTCATCACTGCTTTCTTTTTAGGAGCTTCCTGCAGTCCCTTCATAGCATCTTATGAAGTAAGATTCTGCTAACAGAAGGTTACATATCTCTGATATAGTTAATCCATAGGGTCCAAATCTACCTTGCCTTCTATTTGACTTCAGACTAACATAACTAACTACCTGTCTCTGCCCTCTATTGGTCACTGAAGCAACACAAAACATTGTTTCATTATTACATCACTGATCTATCAGAGAACATACTTGTTTAAAGTCATGCAGTGTTCAGTTGTAATGTTGTTTGGCCACCGCCTGCTAGTAGGTAACTACTGTGATGTAACCGGATTTGCTTAACACTGTTTTGCTTAAAGTCCCATTTTTAAAGAACGTAACTATGACATTAAGTGAGTAGCTGTGCATGGGCCCTAGACTGCCCTGGCTGGATATCCTACCATTTCTTCTCTGCCAACTTAATCCCACTGTGAAATACTCCCCATATTAGGGCCTTCTGTGACAGGGGTGGGAAAACTGAGCACTGCATATGCTTAGAGCAGGTGAATTCAGGTCTGGGGCATCCACTAAGACAGGTGTTATAACCCTCTAGCAACCCCTTTGCACTCAAAGCAAGAGTGAATTTCCCCATCTGTGTGTGAGAAATGTATTGGTGAGCAAACACTAAACTGACAGAGGCTACATTTAAGATTGAATGCCATCTTTGTTGCTTCTGCAGCCCTACAGCTGAGGGCAACTGAAACTCGGGGGGATCTGAACCCTAAGTCTCTGGACTCTGGTTTGTACGTAGGATGCCTGACAAAGGATTTCGAAGTACCTGTAGCCCCAGGCTGGGGTGGATGATACTTGTGGATAGCAGGGCTACATATGGTTCTTGAATGATTCAAACAGATTTGGACCTGATCTGGCTAATTTGACCTGGGACATGAAAAATTTTCCTTAAGTAAAAAAAAAAAATCTTTGTCACTGCGCTAGTTCATTCTTTCCTGAAACTACAAAAAAGTGACCCTCCTGCTGTAGGGCACTGTCATCATGACATTGATGTTTAAGTGTTTACTCTTCTGATCTAGAACAACCCATTAACACATGCCCAATCACAGAAACATTCCTCTTATGCTTAGATTTACACCAGCCTGTTTTGAGGGTCTCACTGTAAAGACCAGGGGACTGTTTACACAGAGTCATTTGGAAAATGTCTAAGCCCTGTTCCGTGTAGATTTATGCATCTGTGCAAGACCCTTACGCTCATGAGTTCAGCTATTTGATAAGGGACTGATAATCTATTCTGTTTATACTAACTGAGAAACATTCTCAGTAAACCAAATGTTTCTCTGTGCTATGTCTGTTAAAATCTCCCAAATAAGTCTGTATATAAGAGGGAGATTATGGGACAATACTTGGGGTATCTGTTTGTAAAAGGGCCTTGGCTTCCACATGAGGAAGCTTTGTAAAAAATAGTTTTCTTAAACCCTACGCAGAATTCCACCAGGCTATTTTCTCTGCTCCCTGCATTGCATGGCTTAATTCTTCCAGCATTTTTAGATTGTTGCTGATTTCCAGTTTTTTTCTCCAGAGGATTTGATTGACCATTCTAAACAAAATCTAGTTGTCTTGATCTTTTAAGTCCAACAAGCCTGAAATGTTTTCCTTTTTCAATTAAGCCTGGAACACTGCAATCTTTTCAGTCTAATTTTTAATTGTCATTTGCCATTTCACAACTGCTGTTTTAATGCAATACATCAAAATGGTGCTTGATCAGAAGCAATCTTTCCTTTCTGTTTGCCAAAGCCTGAAAAGTAATGGGCATGCAGAACTTCAGATGAGTCCAATGACAGCTGCAGACAGCTCCCCCCAGGATTTGGCCTCATGGGCCATGTCCAGATGAGCAGAGATGGGTGGTATGTGGCACTGCAGATGAGTCACACACCACACATTGAGGCATTCTTTGTGCTGCTACCTTGCAGTGCGGGGTGGATTTTTTGACCCTGGGAGACCTTAGGGTAAAAAAACCCTGCACAGATAAAAAGCAGGGCAGCACACGTGGCAGCAATGTGAGCTGCCCAAAACTGGAGCCTGGCAGGCCAGAGCCATGCTCCAGCTGCTAGTTTCAGGAACACCATGGCTGCAGCTTCCCCAGCCCCCAGGTAAGGCTGCTGGGGCCTCCCGGGCCCTATGCCAAAACCCACATGGCCCAGGAGCTCTCCAAGGGCCAACACCAGCCATATATGGTGTGCCACTGCTTCCTGATCCCAAGGAAGCAAACTTCCGCGCCCCTATGTACACAGCCACCTGGTTTAATTTTAGTTTACATTGGTTGACATTTTACCTCCCAGCCAGCATGTTGTTTCTTTGTATCTGAATCTCCCTTCGATGAATTTCAGTATTTCAGAGTCAGTATTTTTTTACATCCTATCAGTCAGATTTCTTACAGCACTTGAGTTATTTCTGTCAGTTGTTACAGTGGTGAGAGCAGCAAGGTATCTATCCACCGCTAACTGCACTGCAGCCAGGTATGTGACCTGGCATGTCCTTCTGCTACCGCTGGGCATCGTTTTAGGTCAGCTTAGTGATCTAAACGCACATATCAGGATGCATCCTCGCCCGGGTTTTCTTTACTCAGCCTCTTCAGAAGTAAACACCAGAGTGCAATCGCAGGCCCAGACAAGTCATTTACCTACTTATAGCGGGTCTGCCCCAGGGAAGAGACAGTCTCCTCCCTGCGCAGTTGGGTGGGGAAGGCGCCCCTCTCAGGTCGGAATACCCCCAAGCAGGGGCGGCGATCAGGAGGTGCCTCCCAATACGGCTCCCGTAGCAGACACCGCAGATCACCGCACGCTCCCTTACGCGGCCAGCGCCAGCCCCTCTGGCGCGAGCGAGAGCGGGAGCTAGAGCTGCAACTGCCTGCGCTGCTATGGCGCGCTCTCATTGGCCGGCGGGCCCCCGCCGCCCACCGATTGGCCAGAGCGCCGGCGTGGCGGGTAACTGCCGCGGAGCTCGTGGCGGGCTGGGCCGTGGCCATGGCGTCGTGCGCTGCGGAGGAGCCGGGCGAGGAGCCGGGAAAGGGGACCAGCCGGAGGCTGCCGCTGTGCAGCCAGGGGGAGGACACGGGGGGGGACGCCGCCCCGCTGCCGGCCCAATGCTCGTCCCAAGTGGGCGCCATGAAGCGGAGGGACACGGTGGCGCTGTACTGTGACCAGCTGCTGCGGGGCTGCAGGGTGAGCGGCTCCTGCCGCCGGCCTGCCCGTTCGCCCGCCAGGGGGTGGGAGAGGAGGGGCTCCGGCCTTTTCAGGTGCTGGGGCCGCGTAAAGAACCGCCGGGGTGCGAGTCTGGAGGGCTTCACCTAGGCAGGGTGAAGGAGGATGCGAGCAGAGCCCGGGTGTAAGAACCAAAGGGGGGGGGGATCAAGAGGGAAAGAAGGGGGAAAACAGTTGGAAAAGGGAAGAAAAAAGGGTGGTTAGCAATCAGAATAAAACAGCCTGAAGAATCATGGAGGAAGTTTACAAGTGATGCAAAAATGATAGCATCTTTGGAACAGGTGCAGCAGAGCAGTGATTCTCACCCAGGGAGCCCAGGATGCCACACAGCAAACATCTCATCAAATAAACCCGGAGGCCACATCCCTGCAAGCAGGAAC